GCCACAGACCATTGTTACTACCCGTTAACTGGCTAACTGGGTGAATTTTGCGCCTGTTTTTCTGGATGATGTCAAGTTTGTTAACGAATACGTCAACTGCTACAAACAATTAACACAGTTACTAAATATTCCCAGCTTCATATTTCAGAATACACTAAATCATAATAAAGTCTTGTATGTCATCAAACTATTCTCCAGATGAGATATTCATGTTGTTGTCACGTTTTCTTTTCTCTTTTTTTAGCGTTTTAATTTTCTCGTACGCTAACAAATCTATCAACAATTTTTCCGTTCCTAAATTCATGGTGAAAAGAGTAGAATACAATTTCTGATGTCAGATGGTTGTCCAATCAGACTGCGCGAATTGACGGTCTCTAAAGCTGGTCTCAGACACGGTCTCATTTCCGGTCTGCGGGGCATCCGCGAGTCTCTAAAGCTGGTCTCAGACACGGTCTCATTCCCGGTCTATGTGGCATCCGAGAGTCTCTAAATCGGTCTCAAACACGGTCTCAAATGGCATCTTCCTCTGTGGGAGAGTCTCAAAACTGGTCTCAAATGCCTTCTAGAGGGTACCGTACATACCTCATATTTGGTCTGCTTACATGAATTTTGTTGAGCATGGGCGAGCCGTTTCAGTTATCTTATCGCATATTTTGTTTATTTCCAACAAAATGTATGTGGTATCATGGCTCCTCATTAAAACTTTCGCATGGCTGAAATATAAACACTTGTATGGTTTCTTTGACGTCTTTTTTTCTGATCATGTTTTGTTGGGTTTTTTATTTCAGTTTTCTGCCGATCTTGTTTTTTAGAAATGAAAATGCCATACAAGACAGGCAAATTTGTATTGAGTTTAAACTGAGCGACAGGTTTTGTCAGGATTCACTGGAACAACTTACACTTTAGTATTACTGAAAGATTTGACACACACACAATAAAATGGCGTGCAGTTGTTGATTGCAATGAACTCTGGGAAAAATGATGTCATATTTGCGTGATTTCCTGTCTACATTTTATGTTAATGATTTAGTACAGATTAGTACTTCTTTTGTTTAAAATGTTTACCCGCGACACGCATCCAATGAAAAGAACATGGTTTGTTTCCTTACTGTCTTTTTTAGTAACGTGCTACAATCAAAGACGCGCTGAACAGTACCATTGTCAAATTCTGGGGAGTAGATGACTATTTATATGGGAGTCGTTACAATAAGGAACTATTAAAATTGTTCGATTTGCATATCAAAATCCTTTATTGGAACAGAGCATGTTCTATATTCACCAAAAGTTGTTATGTTTCTAGACATACACCAGACTCGAAACAATAGAAACCGTCCGATCCGAGTGACCTGCGTTCTTGAAAATCGAGTCTTATCGCCCTTGCGTTTCCGAGCAAAAAAACGTTGAAGCCAAAAACGATTGATTTTCGCCCAATCTTCTATGAATTTTTCATAATTTAGCTAGTTCAATCCAGCGGTTAGATAGGGTATTTATTAGAGATGCCCGTAGAACCAAAATTTGGGACATGAATCTCTCCGGCGACAAAAAATCGGCAAAAATAGCCAAGGGGATGAAGGACTGCATTTCAAAAATATATCTTATATATAGGGTATATAATAAAAGCTAGACATTGAACGTGTTTACGAACAGCGCCCTCTGTGACAAATGGCTGATTTTTCGAGTTCCTTTAGTGTCAGTCAAATTTTTATGCACGCATTTAATGCAATCATGGATATATATCTGTTTATACCTCCATGATGCAATCAATAATATAATATTACATAACACTAGTTGATAGTTGCGAACATTTGGCTGAAATTTACACGTTATTAAAATAAAGCTGGTTGTACAAACTGTTGCTATTGCTCGACTCCATCGGCACTGGCCGAGTTCGGTCGTCACGGGCACTGGCAACTGGCAGCACAGATGCACATATTATTTTATATTACACTAAATTCATGTTCTCCAAATCATACTATGTCAATATACCAGTACTGAGAAAACGGTTTAGTCTATATGATAATAGGAACTCACCCTCTCGACATGTTCTTTGGAATATGTATTCAGTCGGTCTTTCAAAACATCACTCGTTCAAAACAAATCGTTTGCTTGGAGCTGGAATGTACACACAGACTGGTGACGTTTGCTGTACTAGTGACGTCACAATGTTTTGCGTAGATGGACAACACTATGGCGGCGAGATTGTAATATTTGTAAACACATTCATTTAAGTGGATTTTTTTTGTCAGCTGAACACGAATGGTCCCATCCATTTAATTTGTGAGATAACTCGATTATTTTGTTGATTAAGAATCTTGCCATTGTCCAGAAATGCCAGGTTCGGGAAAACATCGAGTCCTTCCTCCGATATCGTCAGAAACAGACAGGCAGTTTCTTCAAAGATTAGATGGATTTATCGCTACAGAGTTGACGAGACTTGGGTGCCCCAATCAAGGACCGGATGAACAGAGATATACGGTGTATAAAGATGCATTTGATCAGGTTAGTTTTACTACTGCATTTGTACCTTGCTATACACATCTACGCCAATCTTCATTGGTAACTCACTGGGAATATCCTGTAGTACTGTTCTGTATCTAGGCATGGAGCCACTCCATGATTTATGCGATAGCTCTGTGTCACAGCCACTTGGAGGCTGAAAATCCAAATAAATGGATCAGTACTATTAATACCCGGTAGTAATAGCTGTGTGATACTACAGTCCGCTCACCAGAAGGGAAGTCTTTTTTTCAATTATCTTACTTTATTTTTACCCCATGTAATGAATACCATGTAACAGGTTATTTTCAGAACATAAGGGGTATTCATCGGGAACTCCAGGTGGGTCGATGACAGAAAAACTGTGCACATTTTTTTTTCATTCACTTTATATAATAGTTTTGTGCTATTTTTTTTTTCATGATGAAAATTGCTGTAATTTTGTTTGCCACTTCGAGAAATATTTTTTCCCTAGATTTCTTTTTCATTATTTTTTCCTGTGCATTTTTTTTTTCAATTCTGCGATCAAGTCAGCCCTATCATATTTCTAATGGTCAACCATTTATCATGCATTTAAGAATGACCACCAAGTCATCAGAGTGGATTTATGTTCTAGTCATTCAATACAATAAAAGAAAGTAAATGAACAAATTAATTTTTGTAGGTTAATAAATTATATAATCCAGTTAGTGACACCAATATACTTGAAAGATGCACTGGCTGGAAATAAACATATATAATAGAGAGGATACTACATGTATATGAACCCAAGGTAGTGACTGGCCAATTTCAGTACTCACAAAACATATACCGTAAATTTCACAGTGATTTTGCCAAAAATGTGAAACAAACAAGTCATCTGAAGATAACACAGCCCCCACTTGTCAGATTATAGTTGACTATGAATTATAAAGTTTGAATGTATATGTATAAAATCAGGCAGTTGGACCACCCAAGAGGAAAGAAACTATTGCAGAAGCTAATCTAAAATTGTTTAAATTTTTTTTTGCTGAATTAAAAAAGTAGACTGCCTAAAATTTCATTACAATCTCACCCAGCACATCTTTCTCCAAAAAAAATCACATTAACGAACCTTTTGCGCCAAATACAATTATTTTTTTCATTTTATTAGTAAAAAAAAGTATATTATAAAAGAAGTTTCAAATAAATAAACACAACACAAATAAACACAACTGCATTGCGTAGTAGCAAATGATTGCGGTAGCGTCATGCTGCATTTCACAATTGTCGATTATCACCTAGTAGTGATTATAATAATTTAAAAAAATTAATTCATAGAATTGTCATGAATGATTCCAGACGCATTTTAAATGCTTGATGCTGTAGAAATGAATATCTGACATGTTTCGACCTGAAATGGTGTTCTTTGACCTGACAGGTCAAATCGCTAATTAACCAATAAAAAACGATGGATGATGCCAACATGTTCAAATTACCAGAGCTCATTTGAATATGTTAATGTTATTGAACGCAGCACGGAAGAGATTTGCCGATGTTGTTGTACGATCTTTTGCCTTGGATTTTGATGGGAAAGCAGCATATGATTTGTTTTTAAATAAACAAATTAGTTGTTTTCAAAAGATAAACCGAGTATTTGAAGAATAATCTAACATTGTTTACAGTGATACATGTACCAGCTCATTGTTGAAATGAAGCTTACCCATTCACGCTAGTTGCAATAAACATCGTATTCTTGAATAGGCGTCAATGACTATGGTGAAACTTTTAGGCATCAGGAAATTGCCGAAAAATTGCCCTGGGCGATTTCTTGGTCCCATTTATTTTTTTGAAAACCCAAACTGCCGTTTAACGACCCAGTGAGAATTTACGACAGAATCCGGAAGAACATCTCTCTTGAATTTGGTAAAATTTGCATCAATTTTAACAAAAATTAATTGAATATGGAAATTCAATTGAGTCAATATTAGTTCACAAGATATTAACAAGAATTCAAATTAATTATTAAATATGCAAATAAGCTTATTAATTGATTCCTTGAAAAAATAAATCAATGTGCATCTGTACCAGCCAGTGGTCACTCTATCTTTGTACCAAGTCTCAGCAAAATCGATCCAGGCATCTCCGAGAAATGATGATGGACACACCCAAAAAACTAGATTTTACAGGATTTTGACATTCAAAATGACCGCCAGGCAGCCTTATTTGATCAAATCAGGAAATAAATCCATGTGAATATGTATACCTCCTCACTGTGTCATTGTGTATACTAGTATCATTGAAATCAGTCAAGGCATCTCTGAGAAATATCAATGGACAGGCAAAAGCCATGATTAACAATCAAAATTACTGCCAGTCGGCCATATTTGATCATTTCAAAAATATTATTATTATTATTATTATTATTATCTTTTATTTCAGGACAAGCCCATATAAAAAGTAAGAAAAAAAAATATTAACAAATTACACAGTATGCCTTAAATAGAATCGACCACGCTACATTTGCCATATACATGATTTAAAAAAAAAAAAAATAAAAAAATAAAAAAAAACATGCTTCTGTATGGGTGGTCCCTTTGTCTTTGTAACAAGTCTCAACAAAATCTGTCAAGCCATCTCCGAGAAATGACGATGGACACACAAGGACCGAATTTGACTGAATTTTGGCATTAAAAATGGCTGCCAGTCGGCCAGATTTTATTGAATTGGAAAATAAACTGCTGTTTCTTTTGAAAAATTGTGTGAATAAATCTTCTTGTAAAATCAAACAAAATATCACAGTTTGTTAAAATTATGAATTGTAGCTTGCAAGTAGCAAATTGTCTGAAAACCACAATCTATAAAAATACAATAATTTGAATGAAGAAAGCATAGAGAGAAAAACAAATGTTGCTTTGTTATGTAACATACAGTGCCTCTGGTGGTACATTTGTGTAATAAAGTTATTATTATAGTTGACCAATTATTTAGCCACCAAAACTCATGAAAATACAAAGGAATTTTATTCCTTTTTTGTTGTCTTACATTAACATATGTTACAAAGTCTAATAAAGTGCTGATGAAATGCCCATACACACGTTTCTTATTTTCGATGTGTCCTTCTGAAATGTACATTTATTAATTTTGTTAGTCCCTGTTCGGACGAAGTCCGAAAACGGGGACTTATAATTAGTCTTCGTCTGTGTGTCCGTGCGTTCGTCCGGAGTCATATCTCAGAATCCCTTGGACCGATTCTGTTCATTCTTTGCATGTGCCTAGTACTTTATGTGGAACATATGCACCTGCAGTGGTTTAGCGATTCGATTCAAAATGGCCGACTGGCAGCCATCTTGTTTTTTGAAAATGTTGTATTTTGGACATGCTTTGTTAGTTTTCATTCAAACTTGGTACATAGATTATTTATGTTAGGATATATGTCTATGACGATTTATTAGTCCCCGTTCGGACGCAGTCCGAAAACGGGGACTTATGTTTTGACCTCCGTGTGTTCGTGCGTGTGTGCGTGCGTGTGTGCATGTGTGTGTCCGGACCTGTATCTTAGAAATGTCTGGACCAATCACAATCAAACTTTACACATACATGATATTATACATATGCACGTCAATTTGTTTCATGATCTGATTCAAGATGGCCGAATGGCGGCCATTTTTGTGCTAAAAATCATCAAAATCAAGCATTTATCGGCTGTTTACAGATGGATTTTGTTCAAACTTGGTATATACATCAGACATTATAGGACCTTGATGCACATTATTTTGTTTTATGATCTGATTTAAGATGGCCGAATGGCGGCCATTTTTGTGCTAAAAATTATCAAAATCAAGCATTTCTCGGCTGTTTACAGATGGATTTTGTTCAAACTTGTTTCACAATTGGATCAAAGATGGCTGATTGGCAGCCATCTTGTTTTTTGAAAAATGTTGTATTTTGGACATGCTTTGTCAGTTTTCATTCAAATTTAGTACATAGATCATACATATTAGGATACATGTCCCCGACCATTTGTGAGTTTGTGAATTTAACGGGGACTGTGTCATTTTCAATGACTTGTTTTTAAAAATACTAAATCATATTTGAGTAAATTTGAGATATTTCTTGTGTTGTAGCCACACCCTCCTGGCGCATACTTTTACAATACGGCATCATTTAATACATGTATTTTTGTATACATGTATTCCTGCCAACTTTGTTTTTTCACAAGGGTTACATGGGGTGGGCCTCTCCTTACACCATCATATACAGTGCTAATTAAACTGCAAATTCTTTCACTGCACAACTTTCCTCATTTGCTAAAGATCTTAGAACTACTTGGGTTTATACATAAGTTCTGTAAGCTAAGTACCAACACATTTTAAAAAACAAGATTCTGGACCAGCACATCGTCGCAGTGAATTTCAGAAGAGAGAGATACATGTACGTCGTCAAAATCTCATTTACGTGACTGTTTTAGTTTGTGACTTCTAAGATCCAGCACAGATATTCGCTAGTGACGTGATCACCTGACCGTTGGTCAAACAGAAAATCATATCACCAACTGTTTTTAATTTCGCTGTCTACAAATTTCTGAATTGTTTGATAATAGGTGTTGAATAATGACTTTGTGAATAGTGTTTTGACTTGCTCTGTGTGCGTAATAATTTGTAGACTAAGAATCTGGACTTTAATGCTATGACATAATGACAATAACATTAACTGAATCATACAGGTGTTGTAGAATATGAGTAATATAGAAATGTAAAATTTGGTTATACGTCGTTCTCATTTTTGTAATAAATCAAAATTAAATGAATTAGTCAAACACAGTCCCTCTATCCCCGGTCTGGAAACGACTAGTGTTCTTTTGTCTCGAACCGCAGTGGGGGGTAAACAAACCGTTCACACGCGGGCCGAGGGAGTCAGGAAGTCAGACAGATTACAATACCTTCAAAAGTTACCGTCATGCAAAGCGATACCTCATTGTATGACTTCACTTTGACTTCAAATTCGGGCAACCACAACGTAAAAAAACATGTAAACAAAATTATCACTATAAAATTTGGGTTTTTTGAACCCTGATACGCATCACAACCAGCCTACCAACTCATAAACATCCAGTTCCTGCAATTCAAAGATTAATATCGAGAATTATGTTCATTTTCTCGTTTTAATAGGAAAAAACTTTGCGTGCCAACATACTGACATCGCTAAACAATTCTTGTCAAAATGGCGTCGTTCATGTTAACGTAGTCGATCGAAAAACCTGTGATATTTCTGATTCTTGGGTGGTTCATAACAGTTCAAGTCAACTATACAACAACTAATGACTTTATTCTATGCAAAAGTATATAACAATGCTTCGATGTTTGTATATAAATGATTTTTTTAGCACAGAATTGAGTACATTGTCATTTTAAAACGTCGCCATTTGCATTTACGATCTAAAAAGCATCCATAAAAGTCGCTCAATTTAACATTAATAAAATGCGGTGTGACAAATAACAAATCAGCCCACCAATTTTTAATGATATGTTTCGATCATAAAATGTCAAAATCGAAGACAAATATTGGTTTTGTGCCGAGAAGTA